ACGATACTTTAACACAATTGTGCTTTCTTAATCTAAAAGTTAGTCTGCCAGTCTTACTTCATTTTGGATATCACGCACGAAGGCAATACACAATGACCAGCAATAGCAATCATCTTCAGGATCTTTCACTCTTTGCAGCTTTGTGTTTAGCACACCCCTGCCATTTGCCAGAGACAGAGTCATTGCATCAAGGTCAAGGGTGAGAATATGAATGACGTCAGCACATATGGAGGGGGAGGGGAGACAAAATTGTTTCTGATAATAGTAAATGTATTAGGACATCCGAAGGGAGTAGGGGGGGGGATAACTTCCAATTTCCTCTGTGGGGGTGGTATGGATGTTTTCTGGAATGACCCAATGTTGATGTTTACCTTGTACTTTTCACTAAGTTCTCCATGAAGTGTCTTCCCTCAAAACGTCTAAGTTCTCCTTGTATTTTTTTCAAGTTATTGTATCCCTAGTTTCAATCCACAGATTTCTTTGTCACAACCTATACAGGCACAGACTGTTGAAGATCATGTAAAAATGACCTGGTACTCTTGTTAGTAAGTCCAGTAAATTGCATGCATCAGAAGAATCAAATCCAATAACTCAGATCATGTGAACAAACCTAGGAGTCACATGTTTTTCAGGTGCAGTGCCGTGCTAACCCTCACAAAAATCATAAACCCCAATAATTATTAATTTTGTGCTCAATAATAACAGGAAGAGAAATCTACAAAGATTGAGGATTTTTCCCCAACTTTGGTACAATAGTACCGTACAATACTTTTGCAGATAATATACAATACTTTAACACAATTGTGCTTTCTTAATCTAAAAGTTAGTCTGCCAGTCTTACTTCATTTTGGATATCACCCAGGAAACCAATACACAATGACCAGCAATAGCAATCATCTTCGGGATCTTTCACTCTTTGCAGCTTCATGTTTAGCACACCCCTGCCATTTGCCAGAGACAGAGTCATTGCATCAAGGTCAAGGGTGAGAATATGAATGACGTCAGCACATATGGAGTCAAATGATTCATTCAGTTCAGGATTTCCATTCTGAAACTTCAAATCACTGGTCCAACCATTGGCCCCTTTGGCAAGCCATATACCGGTATGTGTATCTGCATTACTAACACCATCACTATCATACTCAAAAACACCAATGAAAATGGAGCCTTGTTTTGCTTCAAGTCTCCACTGAGTTCGGCCACTTTCGCAGCATTTGTAACCCAGAACATACCTCCCAGTGTCATTGTTTATAAGAGAATTCTCATTGTATCCAAACTTGATAACGGTATCCTCATCGGAGATAGATATATTCGAGACGCATGGGTCACAGAATGTATCCACCTTTTTTACCTTAAATTCTTCTCGCAAACCAAGATAATTTACCAGGTTGTAAAAATGCGGAAAGTCGTCCTTGGCGGGTACTGGTACCGGGGGTGGATATTCCGGTATTGATAGTTCCTTTGAACGAAGGAATTTTAAAATTAGTTTAAAGTAACCGGGATCAAAGTTGAGAAAGACATTTCCATCTTTATCTTTTTTCTGTTGATTCTCCCAACGCCCGCTAAACATAGAAGCCAAAAAGGAACCTTCTACTTGACACAATGTCGATCTATTGCAAGCCATAGTTTCTCCGCCAACATTCAAGTAAATTTAATATATCATCGTCTTCAACAACATCGACGTCGTTCTCAACTGCTAACTTCTTTTTGTTCGGGGCTTCCGTTTCGCGAGATTCAGCTTTTCTCTTCTTGATTGAGAGCGTTTTCCTCGTAGATGTTCTTCCCATATTCCTCTCCACGTTTTTTACAAGACAAAAATGAGTGAAAAAGTGAAATGACAATCCAGTGTTTCCACAACCCCACAACACTAAATCCCAATTTCCTTTATTTTATTTTATTTATTACAGATAGCCTAGGGACCGGCCATTATTTATGGAAGGGGGGGGG